TGGGCAACAGCGGGTCCGAAGTAGCATCTTGAAATAGCACGCAGAGTCTCTTCAAGTCTAGAATGAACGGCCCTTTTCTAAGTGGAAACCGTCATGAACAACATACAATTAGTCTCAGAATACGGTGTTCGACAGAAGCTTCATTCGCTCAACAATCCTTCTTGGTATAATATGGCTTATAAATAAAATGGTTAGTGTTACATCAATATTAGTTTCATCAGTTCTGAGTAGAAAAGATTGTTACAAAAATGTTGAAATGTTTAAGTCAATTTGTGATTCATAGATGTATTTCATATATTTCATTAAGTCTAAATTTGCATTCCTCTTTAATAAAACGAACATTTTTACATGTACTAAGACTTCTACAGAACATTTAATATGGTGGTTTCCTGTTTCATCCCACATAATAATGCAGTCTAATATTGTATACAAAAAGCCTATTTCCGAGTTGTCTTGAATGCTCGAAGAAAACACTGTCGGTTGAAATCAATTGCAAATTCTGTCTGTTGGATATACCTATTATATATTTAAACATTTAATTATATTTATAGCAATAGCAAATATATGTACTTGTCAAGTATTTATTGATATGGGAAATTGACCTCTACTTTAAAAAATAACGAAATAATTTTAATTGAAAATTAATATGTAAAATTATATATTTTTAATTGAATTATATTTTTAGTTTGAGTCTGATAACTACATCAAGTAACTATACAAAGTGCTTACATCAATTATTAAAGGTTTAAATTGCGTAATTTTATCGAAGTTAATATTTTATATAAAACTGAAAAAATATATCCCTTATAAATCGATTAATATGGATAAAAATTCGTTTATGCAATTATATAATATAATGTTATTTTTCAAAGTGTGAAGTTCCAACGTAAATAAATTTGAAATATTTTTTATGATTTTTCTGGTTCATCCTGTATAAACGGGAAAATCCTTATTTTTTGGAGACGTAAAAATAAGATAAAGATCGTATATTGTATGTGCAGGAAAGACGTCAAAAGGAGTGATAGACAGGACATCCTTTTAAAGACATACTTAAACGAGATTAAATAATTACACATAGACTATTATCTCTAAAATGAGAACAGCACATGTAACACATGTATAACACCAACAACTCACTTAAACTTTAAAGAAAAAATGGAGCAGACAGATATTTTCACCAACAAAACTCTTCACTCGTTTGTCCTTGAGAAAATATGTAAATTGATTTGAAATTTTCTATTTTACAATAACAAGATACAATGAATGAGAGCCTTAAATCTACAATACAACAATATGTACTAAAAGTAGTGTAAATTCGCTATATAAAGTTGATTGCATAATTCGAAAAGTTACAAATCACTTACTGTTTTTGCTGAATTGAACATAGAGAAGTCGATTATGTTGTCGATAGTTTTCGATTAGAGCACTGGATGGTTGATTTTTATCTCCCCGATAATACCTTTGATGTGGAAAATTACTGGAGAGCGTACACACTTGGTAATTATTGATATATAGAGAATGTACTTTTTTATTGAAACTAAATGTTGAAGTACCAAAATGAGTATATATTGCGAAATTTTCCCAAAGGGATTAATTTTATGCTCAACCAAAACTTGTTAAAATAAATTTTGATGTAAAATTAAAAAATATATAATTGTAGCAAATAAATTTAAATGCACATTGAAATAAACAGGATGTTGTGTATGAACATAAAAGTGTAGTTACCTTCACTATGTATTCAAAATATTTCATTGAAATGAAGGTGAACGGTATCATTAAGAATACTAAAAATATATTATTTATCTATTAAAATTTGTACAGCGTAATTTTATTAAAAGATACATTTTACACTATTTGAAAATGGAAATTGTTTTGTATACAATGTTTTTGGTATCATCCGGGTTTATTTATAGGATAATTGTTAAAATGATTGATTCAAAACCGGTTTAAAATTGATCATCTAAAATAGCTTAAGATGTAAAGATCTTAACGTTTGTTCTTTACGAGCCGATATCTTCGGTGTCATTAGAGATAGTGAAATATTAAATACAATACTAGAAAGCCCTTTTCTTCATCTAAAACCCTTGTGTTCTGTCAATATCATAATATCAATGCGGAAAAAATACAGGACACACCTCAAAATTATCAAATTTCAAGCCCGGACACATAGAATTGGTAGATTGACCTGTAACAATAGAACTCTTTTATTTGGTAGGAACAAAAAACTGAAGCGGTATCAATCATATAGCAAATTGTCTGGTCTTTCTATCGGTGCATAACAAAAAACAAACAGGAGATTGAGGAGATTATAAAATCATTTCTTTTTGTAAAGCAGCATTACAGCCGGTATGTTTTAGAAGTGCATTAAATAACTTTCTTATATGATACGGACAAAACTCAGAGACCATATACAATTTATATGAAATTTTCAGTTCTATACGATGGTATATAACTTTAGAAGATCACATGATTGCACATGCATTTTGCCTCCAAAAACTGCAAAAACCGCGTATAGTTACCGTATGTAAATGTTTACGGCGTCATAACTTTCTTATATGATACGGACAAAACTTCGAGACCATATAGAATCCATAGGAAATTTTCCGCTCTATACAGTGGTATATAACTTTAGTAGATGACATAGTTGCACAAGCATTTTGCCTCCAAAAACTGCAACAACTGCGTATAATTACCGTATGTAAATGTTTACGACGTTATAACTTTCTTATATGATACGGACAAAACTTTGTGATTATATAGAATCTAAAATTCTCCGCCCTATGCATTGATATATCAGTTTAGTCGGTAGCATGATTACACAAGCAGTTTCTCCCCCAAAAACTGGGAAAACCTATACGTGGTTTTGCTATATGTAAATGATTTCAGCATCATAAATGTCATTGTCATCATACTTGTATAACCATGTGATCTACTAAAGTTATATACCACTGCATAAAGCAGAAATTTTCCTATACGATTGATACTACTTTAGTCTATCTACCGATTCTATGTGTAGGGTTGTTTATAATACCTGTTCTTTGTCCGATGCCGATAGATATTGACCGGACAAAACCAGATTTTAGATAGCTCAAAATGTGTTCTTTTCAAATTGGTGAAACTTCTTTTTAAATTCGCTTTCATAACGGCTGCACACAGGCTTGAAGTTTGATAATTTAGAGATTTATTCGGTACACGGCGACGATCATTATTTTTTTTCGATGTTGATATCATAATATTGACATAACAAAAGTTTTAGATGAAGAAAAGATTAAGCTTTCTACTAGTGTATTTAATATTCCGCTATCTCTAAAGACAACGAAGATATCGGCTTGTAGAGTAGGTGAAAAAACAAGAGTAAAAGTTTGTTACTGAGAGGTTTGTTGCTATTAAAATTATTGATGCAAAATTAACTAAATGTTAAAGCTTATGTTGAATCATAATGATGATGAATTAAAATAAAAATGTTTTAAATCTTAATAAATTCTTTAAAATCTAGATGTTACTTAAAATTTCTCTAAATCCGTTTAATATATTTGCAATCTTGAATCAATCAAAATCGTATATAATATCTTGATTATTAGATTGTGCTAAAATAACTTGAATTCATTGATTACAAAAAAAGTTTAAGATTGTCAAGTATCATCTGAAATCATCTTAATGAAAATCTTGTGAAGTTATTTTAAAATTATTCGAAAATGTTTTGAAAATTAAAAATTGTTATTAAACAACGTGTATTGATAGAGACTTAAAAACGATGCATAATTATTAGGAATTGCTTAAGATCGGAGACATCGCCATCATTCTTATCATGTCATAATTTGAGTCATTCTGCATATATTTGATGCAATTGATAAAAGAAAAGTTAATTATCGAAAAGTGACAAAAATGTTACGTAAAACTTTCTTATATTACACGTAATAAAACACTTAATGAAATGTAACTTATTTAAATCAGTTAAGTCAATACAATTTTTTGACTGAACTAAAATATTTTTGTTCATGCTAACTAATTATAAACAAAGCAAAAGATTAGTGTTGATGGAATAAAAATAATCTTATTGTCTCTATCATATAAAGAACATTTTATCGCATGGGCTTTATTTCTAATAAAAAGCCAATAAATCATATTTTATTTTAATTAGTTTCATAATACCCCGGAGACAACATTCTCTTGCTTATCACTTTACTAATGCAATAAATTGATTATTGTTCATTATCTTCAATAATTTGACAAAAATAAATTTTTGTATTATTCTAACAATAAGTAAATAATATAATTGTTTTTTGAAGATGAATTTACCCAAAGTATTGTTTATTTATTAATTGCTTTTATGATAGATACCTTAGTGAAAGATAAAAATTGAATTGTTAATAATGGAAATCAATTGAAGCATTTACCTTGCTCTTTACATAAGCTTATTCAAGGTACTTTCCATTTACTTCTTATTTAACTTTACCCTTTACAATTTCATAACTGATAATATCCATCATTGTGTTAATTGCTGGTATAATCTAATAAAGTCATATAGATTTTTATTACTGATAATATAATCGTATTAATCTTAATCTGGTGTAATTAATATTTTCTATTTTAAAATATTTTATTTGATTCTATTATGTTAATAAAAATCATCTGTGATTTAAAACGATTTAAGAAAACTTTTCTTAAGACTCCTTCATTAACATAGTTATGTAGCGTGTCACCACTAAAGTTTAGCAAAATTAAGTTAATATCCATTAGCTAAGTATTTTTAGTGATTACTCAACAGTTCTCGTTTGTGACAAAAAAAATTAAAGATTTTTAAACAAATAAATCTAAACATGAACGCTAATTAATTTGATACTTTCATCAAACATTTGGTCATATCGGATGATTATGAATTTGCTATTTTAAAATGTTCATCTTATTTCTTCTATTAAAAGTTTTTAACATCTGGGTTGATAACACGTTTTGAAAATGAAGGAATAAAAAAATTAATCTTTGAAAACTTGAAAACTTACTTGTTTGTTGTGAATATCTTCTTGATTCTCACTAACACTTCTCATTGATGGTGTCGGTAAACAATTTTTAATTCAAAAATTGCTTTCTGTTTAATACCGAAAGCGACGGTTCAATTGGGTCGAGTGCTGAACGCGTAAAGGAGCCAACTAAAGGTAATAGCGCAAAATTGGCCCACGTGGTGTATAATATATGGTAGGGGACGTTAAAAATTCCAATTGTTGACGATAATGTCGTATTACACGATTATTATTTATTTATTTACCGCACGGTGCGAAAAGCGCCTTTAACCCTTCGAGTCACTTGGTACTAGTTGCAAATTATGTTGTTGCACGAGGAAGGAACAGGTGGGTAATATCAACGCGGAGAACGTATCTGATAGTTTTTATTTAACAAATCTTGCGTAAAGCGTAAAACCAAGGACGAATGTGTTCGCGGTGGTTTTATATACACGTTGACCATTCGAAATTGTGTGTTGACCTAAAATTTTCGTGTTCGCTAAACAAGAATTTTTACACATTAGTAGCTATGATTTTTTTTGTCAAGGTAAGGGTCAAGCAAATCAACAATAAAGATCTTTGACCGTAATAATAAAAACGAAAATCTTTAATCTTCTTAAAGATCTTTCAAAATATGTGCTGTTGTTATTATACAGAATGTTTGAATATATTACATTTTTCTTAACGATTTAGATCCTTAATAAATTAATATGAAAGATGAATACTGATATGATGACAAATTGTGTATGAAATTTATAAAATACGGTTGAGTTGTATTTTATGCTAAATAAAACGATGTCATTAAATTATTATTGTGTTTTATTTATTTTGTTAATTGAAGATTATTCACAATATTTTTATATATTAACTATTTCGATATTATTATGGAGGCGTATTTTTAATGGTTGAATGTTGGGGTGAAAGTTATTTTAATTTTTTGCTACATCTTAAAAATGAAAAGTTGTACAAAATATTTCAAAAACCTTTCTATTGATATGCCGTACTTAGGTTAGAGAGTTACAGGGGGAAAACCACCCCATTTTCTTTAAATATTTTAAAAACTAGTCCGTTGATTTTGATCATGTTTCTTTGTGACAGACTTCCAGGATCGTACGGATTTTTTAACGAATGAGCTCCCTAATTGGCAAATATTCAAAAATGTTTTGGAAATTCATTCGAAACACATATTCCTCTCAAATTAAAGGATGACGTTGAAATATCCATACGAACCTTAATGCATTTAATCCAACATGCTGCATGGACTGCAACTCCGGCGTCTAAAAAGGAAAAACTGGTAATACGCCCGCTTGCGTTAATCCTAGATTACTGGACTGTTTTCTACGAACGTTAATACTGGATTATCGTAAATTTTACGACTTAAAGGAAAAACACCACTTTTCACAAAAATATTTATTATAAGAAAAGGTAAAAATTAGTATTAAGAGCATTGTTTATTATATATTTCCTACCTATCGTACATAATTTATACAATGTGTATCAATGAATTATTTTGAACCATGTCCCTTACGTCTACAAAGCAGTAATTTGGATTTAAAGTTAGCAGATTGTTTTTCTTTCGTGGTTGTGACTACAGGTTTTGTTTATATTCATGTTAAGATTAGTGGTACTAATTGCAAGTCCTATGTCACGTGGCTGCATGCTCTGTAATTAATTGGTACAATACAATTGCACATAGTAAGATTGTGTTTTGGATATGGTTCAAAATAATGCTTAGGTAACAAAAATTGTTTCTCTGAGTTTACTACAAATAGCATGTTTGCAGTACATGGTCCTCATACGTCAATTCCTACTTGGGCAGTAGAAACAAATCATCGTAGCCTGAAATCCTCAGGATATTATGTATATTTTGGCGAATATTGCAACCTAAAGTGTTACTATTCAATCTTTCTCTCATCCACGGTTCAGCCAGATACCGACTCAAATCAATCATTGATACCGATTTGATGGTTTTTTACATTTTAAACAATTGGCTTTTCACTCAATTCGAATTCTATGTTATCTGTTTCCCAATAACTGTCGCTGTCTTCAAAAGATTTCGGTATCACAATCTTTACCATTCATTATTCGTTGTACTTCTTCATACATTTCCTTGTGTCAATGGTTTTTTGAAAGACATTTCAAACTCTAGAAATTTCTTACCCTGAAAATTTTTTGTTGATTATGAACACTACGTGAATACTGGACTTTCATCAAATTTACGACGGAATTCTAAAATAATATACAATGTAGTCGACTTTGTATACAACGCACCCACCGCTACTTAGCTAAACACTGTAAAGGAAGGTAATAAAGCACTCAGAGACTTAAGTGATACAAGAGTAAACGAAAATTTACTAAATACAACGAGTGTCGTAAAATTAAGGGTTTCCAGTAATCTAGGGTTAAATCTCTAGATAAAACCCTATTAAATCGAGCCACTCGTCAAGTAAAAAACGCCTTATTTGTATATTAAAATAAGTCACTACCATGTTTTTCGGAAAATCTAACAAATACTTCTGACACTAACTAATCCATTTGGAAACTAAATAAATTCATTAACCAACTTGTTACGAAACATCCGATCAAAATGTAAAATGGGTAATTGAGCAAGAAGCGATATCTCTGGGAAGTGATTGCCCTCTTGTTTGCAAATCATCTAATTATAGTCTGTTAACCCTATACGTGACAAATCTCTAGGGGTGAAGAGAAAGAAATAGAGATCCTAGAATATATTTTTAACGCTTTGCTTCGTCTTGAGTATTTCCCAATTCAGTGTAAAGTCGGTGCCGTAAAAATGATAACAAAACCTGAACTTGTTTGTATATCTCACAGGCTTTTGAAAGAATGTACACCTATACTATTCCCTATTGCAATCCTACCAGAATGAGAGGTTCTTCTTTATTTAGCAAAAAGGTGTGTCCCCAAGTCTTTAGCCATTAAGCCTATTCTTCAGCCAATTAAAATGATTTGCGCAAAGTCTGCGCCACCTTTACATTAAATAGACAAACATGCTCATCTGTTAGCATGGATGATGTTTCGTTCCCCCTTTATTAAAACAGTAATAAAATATTTAGGTTTATTAACTGGATCGATCAGTTAATCATAAGCGGGAAAACACAACTGAACTGAAAGGCTCCAATTGGAACTCATTTATAGAGGAATGTATTAATTTATAAAAAAAAATTCATACGTCTTAATCATACCAGAAAATAAACTACTTTTGTGTAACTCTATCATGAAACCTATATGAACGTATAGCATACAAATATATACTATATATTTACTCCAATATACGGTATCAATCTAAAGTGTTGCGACAAATAGTAAATGAGTTTTGGTATATAACAAATAAACTAATCTATGAAAGAACTTGGACATTCATACAGTTACAGACGTCATTACAAACCAATTTCTTCTACTTACATCCCATTTATCTCGCCATTCTGACTTTTTTTCTTTCTGAATGTTCGTAGCATTTGTTTGGACATCGTATTTAAATCATATATATTATGTAAGAATTGAAAATAATTTCTATGATTACTAAGTTGTAAAAATCTTTAAAATGTCGGTAGCAATTTCGGTAGTAAGTACTTTGGCATTAATAATAGGTTCATCGAGGGATCAATGCAATCGAAGATTCTTTAAAATAGTTTGGTGGAGCATTGTAAACGATCAAAGGCTATCAAAATCTACTCTATCCTACTGTCGTATCTGGTATCACCCAATGCTAATAAACATATCTTTTGGGCCATGTTGAAAAAGTCAGTCGGCTTCTAAGGGTACACGACACAGAATACTGGCAAATTATGTTATTCAATTCTAGATTGCACTCCTGCTTTATCGCCGCTCATGGTGGACCCGTTCTTCCTGTAATATCTAGCAAATTTCAATCCAACTTATTTAGTTCTTCAATAATTTCTGTGATTTGCTTTCCTGTACATTTATCGACTGATAAAACTTGAAAAACTTTATATTAATTTTAACAAGAGTCATTATTACAAGAGTTACTTGCTTTACCTTAACTAATGTTATGAATATAGTTTTTGAATTTGTTGAAACCATTTGTTTTAGCAAAAAAAAATGGTTGTTCGTCATATGAGACGTTATATTTCTAAAATATGTTGTATGATCCGTCTTCAATTCTATTAAAGTCCTTTCAAGTATTAAGTAACTTTCTTTCAATGAAAACCATGCGTACGACATGCCATGATTTATTAGAACTAAAGAGCCTAAATCGTTATTACATCGGCCGTCGTCTTAGAGCATTAGATTTCGGGTAAGAAATCTTTCAGTTACGTTCCGGAAACATCTCTAGATGTAGTAGGACTTTTAGAACATGTAGCAAATCGCTGTTTGTGGTGGCAATAAATCAGAGTTTGTCTCTTTTGAAGCTATTGAGAAGAAAATCCCAGCTTATGTACGACTGTGTCTTGGATGCCTGTCACACTGATTCAGAACCATTTAACGAGAAAATGAAGCCGATTAGATTGAGTGGTTTATATCAGATTAGCTAAAGTGTAAAGTAATTGTTTGAAAGCACGTGATATAGCTATGATTGGATATCACACTTTTTATGACTTTTATGAAAAAATATATTATATATTTGATAAACCAATTAAATTATCTAAAGCGGCATACACTTACATTTCCATTCATTAATTATTAAATTGGCATATTAAATTTTACAAAAGCACGATAAGTTGAAACTTCCAAATAAAGTATTCATGATTTCATTAGAATTTTTCACTAAACGTTTTTCATAATTATAAACACGCATACATCATATTAATGTTTTATTTCTATGCAAGTTTATAATTGTGAACCACTCAAAAGTTAAAAATTACTAATCATCCGTGGCAAATACAGAATTTCTAAAATACTTTGAGAAATGCTCATAACTACGCGAAAAAATGCAGATGTTACGTGTGTTTGGGAATTCCAATGAAAATTTAGCGTAAATGTTTGGTCTGCAATCGGCGGTATCCCATTTGTTGTTGTTAAAATTATATTTGATAAATGGATCTTGGATATTTTGTATCTGTGATCGAAACATACATAAATCAATAAAAGTACGACTTATGCAGTTGAGTGGAGTTCGTTTACAGCAAATTACTACAAGTCACACTAACAAGTCTGGAGAATAATGAAATGTCACCGACATGGGTCTGATAATGAAGTTATCAGATGTAGTGTGACTTGTAGTAATTTGCTGTAAATGAACTCCACTCAACTGCATAAGTCGTACTTTTATTGATTTATGTATGTTTCGATCACAGATACAAAATATCCAAGATCCCTTTATCAAATATAATTTT